ATCACCTCAATCTACGCTTCCCTTCTTTTGCTAACCAAAGGAAGTGTTCCTGCGAGTTTTTTTATGCCAACAATTTTTTACTTGTCCAGGAAAGTGAGGAAGAGAAAAGGGAGCATTTAAAGCTGAAGGAGGAGCTGAAGGAGAAGCTGATGGCTGTGATTGATGCGCCATTGAAGAAACTTGGATTGATTGACGCAATTCAAAGGTTGGGCGTGTCATACCATTTCCACAAGGAGATTGATGAAATCTTGGGACAAATAATGCAGGTGATGAACCAAAGTGATTTTAAGGCTAGTTCCAGTCAGGATGATGATCTTTATACCATTTCCCTAACATTTCGTCTACTTCGGCAACATGGTTATAGAATTTCATGTGGTAAAAACTAAACCGTCTTTCCATGCCATCTATTGTTCCTTAAGTGGTCAGCAAAAAATTTCCCACATAAATGTGTTCAACAAAATTAACATGGTTTGAGAATTTAATACGTACATATTGGGTTGGTGAAGCAGAAATGTTTAAAAAGTTCAAGGACAAGGGAGGGAAATTCAAGGAATCCCTAATTGATGATGTTAAAGGCATGTTAAGCTTGTACGAGGCTACCCATCTAAGGGTCCATGGAGAAGATATTTTGGATCAGGCATTGTCTTTCACTTCTACTCACCTTGGTTCAATGGCCACAAGCTTAAGCAACCCTTCTCTTGCAGCTCAAGTAACAAATGCTTTACACCAACCTGTCCACACAGGCATGCCTAGGCTTGAGGCTAGACGATTCATTCCTGTATACCAAGCCGATCCTTCTCATGACAAAACATTATTAAGCTTTTCAAGGTTGGATTTCAATCTGTTACAGAGACTGCACCAGAAGGAAATCAGCGATATTGCCAAGTACAAATGAATTTATAGAAAAATTATCTATGTATGAGGTGGGATAATCTAAATGGGTTGAATTTTGAACTAATTGAATTTCGAACTATGTTGTGTTTCAGGTGGTGGAAAGATTTAGACTTCTCCACAAAGCTGCCTTTTGCCCGAGATAGATTGATAGAATGTTACTTTTGGATATTGGGGTTGTACTCTGAGCCAGAGTATTTACTGGCTCGAAGGTTTTCAACCAAAGTCATAAAATTTGCTTCTGTTATTGATGACATTTATGATGTCTATGGCACGCTTGATGAACTTGAACTCCTTACTGAAGCAATTCAAAGGTTTGATTTGTTTTAAGCTAGCTGACTTTATTACCTTTTCTCCACTCCTATGTTTAAATTTTAAGAATATTTGGAATTAATTTAAAAAGTTACTATATATCAGTTTTAACTTTTAAAAAAAATTAAAATCTTAATTTATATTTGAAAATTGAGATTTCAATTCAAAATTCAAAAATTTATCATATTAAATGTTAATATATAAATTTGAAAATTAATTAGATATTAGACTATAATCAATTTTAAAATTTAAATATTAATATTTAATAATACAAATTTTTAAATTTTGAATTGAATTTAAATAAAATAAAATAATGTAATTTAAAATTGAATTTTAATTTATTTTGAGATTCAATCAAAATTAATATGTATTTTATTAATTTAAATAGTAATTTTATCATAACTTAACGTATTGGGTTACCTTATTTTCAGCTGGGATATGAATGCAATAGATCAAATGCCTGAGTACATGCAAATTTATTTTCGGGCGTTTTTAGATATTTACCGTGAAATTGAAGAACAAATGGTAGCACAAGGGAAATTATACCGCGTCTATTATGCAAAAGAAGCTGTAAGCTCCCCTGCTCGCACACTTTTTTATTTTTTTGTGGTCCAAACATCCATATCAGATGCAATTCTCATGCTCTTTTATTTCCAACTCAGATGAAACGTCTTGTTAGAGCCTACTTCCAAGAAGCCAAGTGGTTCCACGAGAAATACACACCAACACTGGATGAGTACATGCCGGTTGCATTAATTTCATCTGGGTATGAAATGATGGCCGTCACATCCATTGTCGGACTGGGAGATATTGCCACAGAAGATTCTTTTAATTGGTTGTTCAGTCGGCCCAAGATTGTCACTGCTTCTGAAGCTATTGCTAGACTCATGGACGACATTGCATCCCATAAGGTATATATATATATATATATATATATATATATGTACACGTACTACTGTAAAACGAAAACGAATCATTCTGAAGTCTGAACTACTATTAATTGGTAAATTTATATATGTGTAGTTAGAGCAAAAGAGAGGACATGTAGCTTCAAGCATTGAATGTTACATGATACAATATGGTGGCACAGAAAAAGAAGCAGTGGAGGAACTCCGCAAACTGATTACCCGGGCATGGATGGATATCAATGAAGAATGCCTGCGCCCAACAGCAGTCCCTAAGCCTCTCCTGACTTGCATTCTAAATCTTGCACGAGTTGTTGAAGTCTTGTACAAGACTGAAGACGGCTACACTCATGTTGGAAAAAGGATCAAGGAATCCGTGACTTCTTTGCTCATTGATCCTGTGCCTGAGAAATGCATTTTGGCAGGTCCTGGATGCGAGTAGGGAAAATGAAGAAAACCAATGATTAAGTTCAGTTGGCTGTCAAGATTGTGGTTTTTGCCATTACGTGCGTCCAACGCGCCTCTCTTTTCGACCAGCCAGCATATTGTTAACTTGACATCGGGATGGTACTGTAGTGCTTTTTGTATTGCTCCAAGCAATAAACTGTGTTTTTCTTTACTAAAAGAAAAAAAAAAAAAACTATGTCTTTTTTTAAATTTTGTGAAGTTTAATATTTAAATTTAAACCTTTCAATTTAATTAGAGGTGTGGCGATGAACAATAACTGATGGTTTCGAAACAAAGAAATGGTTTTATTTTATTAAAAGGAAGGCCAAATTGGAGGGAAAGGGGAGTGGAACTCGGTATGTAACTAACTAGAGATCTAAGTTGTTATTGTCAACTAAGCTGCTACTGTTACATAAAATACATACAGTTATGAAATCATGACTACAAGGGATTAGAAATGTAGCTATAGCTTAACAATGGTTATGACATTGGTACCCTTTAGCTATTTATAGTTTGCAGCAACAGATGACAATCTTCCGAAGCTAATACATGTTCTTTTCCTTAACTTTTACTTACCGTAGCGATGGTGAATGTTTGAGCTATGGAATTATAGCTAGTTAGAATATGTAGCCACCGCGCAAAGTTTACTTGTGGCAGCATTGTTAGAAATAGCTTTATTTGTATTAAATATATAGCTACTGAAATTCGCATGTTAAAGTAAGCTCATTGGATAATGGCGAATGCTATCTTTCCCTCTCTCACTTTCTCCTCTTCTCAAGAGAATGATTTGCTAGCTCGAACCAAACCCTATTATCCTCTTTTCAAAAGAGGAAAAAAGACGAATGAGGGAACCATGGACAAAAGCTCTTATCATCAAGACTTTTGGCAAGACAGTGGGATACAATTTCCTTTATGGAAGTATTAAAGCTCAATGAAAACCCACAGGTAGATGGGATTGCATTGATTTGGGTTATGACTATTTTCTTGTTCGATTTCATGTGCAGGAAGATCTTAACAAGGTGATCAATAGAGGACCTTGGTTTGTAGGTACTTCTTACCTTACTATTAGACCTTGGGAACCAAATTTCAAGCTTGAAGTGCCACCTTCTCTCACACAGTGGTTTGGGCCCAACTACTAAGATTATCTTCTGAATATTATGACTCCAACTCACTTCAATTGGTAACTCTATTGGGCATCTCCTTCGCGTGGACGCCCACACGGCTCACCATACGCGTGGCCAATATGCTCAGGTGTGTGTTAGAGTTGATTTGGACAAACCTCTTGTGAAACTTGTTTGATTAGGAAAAATTCAACAAAAAGTCCTTTATGAAGGAATCAGGGGTCTCTGTTTTGCTTGTGGAAGGATTGAGCATCACAAAGATGCATGTAAATTTATATTTGCTTCTACAACAACCACATATGGCACAAATTGTGAAGTCTATTCACAATCTATCATTAATGACACTACGGGTAATCCACTTGTTGGCTCAAATAGTGTGGAGAATTTAAATCCTATAGGCAATATAGGAGGATATCATGCTGTGGATAAGAACCAATTTCTAGGTTAGATAACAAGATCAGAGCTTAGAAGTGATAATCAACTTGATGAATTTGGCCCATGGCTCATTGTGGAGAGGAAAAAGAAGAAGAAAAAAAATCCAAGAATAGCAATTTGAATTACCGGTGGCGGTTAGAAGCAATAATTCTAAGGAAGGCTGAGGGTTGCCAGAATCGAACTGAAAAATAGAGCCAGCTAACCAAATCAGTCAAAATGCAACCAAGAATGGGAAATCCAACGGTAAAATTGCAAGTGCATTAAATGTGAAAACCATCTTCAAGCTTGTTAAATCAACAGATTCAAGAGTGACTGTTGATAAGCCTGCTCAAATCCAACCGAACGGTGGTCCAATGGAAGATCGAGCTAATTCCAGTGCAGCCAAAGGAAAGCAGGTTATGGAACCACTTACAGCCCAAAATGAGGATTTGGGCTAGAATAACAACCCAGTAAAGTTGCCTTCCCTAACTGTTGGCCCAGGTAATTGTTTTAATGGACCTTTGAAGCCTATTGCTCAAACTTCCACCAGCCTAGAAGATTCTTTACTTATTGTTAAGGATAGAATCAAAAATATCGAAAAAGGCTCCAGTTTTGCTAAGCAAAATCCCACTTTGTCTAAGACTCTCAAACCCCCTTTAGAGATTAAGCATGGAATAGCTTTAGGGACAACAACCTTTTTTTAGGTCAGTCTAAACCTTAAGATCCTTCTATTTCACAACAGAAATGTGATTACGCTACAGCAAGCCTTAGATCTGATATTATCATGAGGAAAGAAGACACATCCACAATGGAAGGAGGAAGTGATATTGGAAGTATGACACACAGACCTCTGTTGACCCTAAAGTCTATCAATCCAGTTCCTTTTCTAAGCTCAGTGCTAGGTTCGATGGCGGTTCCCTCAATTTTGATAGATCTATGCAACATGCAAAAACTAGGATCCACTTTCGAAGGAGTAAACACAGAAGGAAAACTGGCCCGTACTCAACTCATGAAGTTCACAGCTCAGGCATGGGAGGAGCTTCTTTAAGTTTCCGTAATGATGTGCAAAATGGAGAAGATCCACATCATCGTCAAGACTTTAGTCTCGCTTGAGATCAAGAAGGAGCTGGACTACGAATGCCTAACGCTTCCATACCAATTTCTGGATGTGTTAATGATGCTGCTGCACAAGGTAACACAGGAACCATTGTTTGATTTGGATCTCTCAAATATTGTTAATTGGATGATGAAGATGTTATCTTGGAATTGCTGCGGAGCAGTTAAAATGGAATTTCAAAGAAGAATTATGGATTTGAAAAGGCAGCGCTATCCATCTATCATGCTTATCTTGGAAACAAAGCTAGCTGGTTCAGTTGCGATGGAGGCAACCGCTAAGTGTGGTTTTTCTTGCTGCAATGTGGTTGACTCTAAAGGAAGAGCTGGAGGTCTTTGGCTATTATGGAATGATGAGGATGTCTGCATCGATGTGGTGACCTCTACATATCTAGCCATTCATGCTATCGTGAAGGTATGCTCTCACCCCATCCTCTCTAAATTTCATTGGTTTCTTTTTGGTGTGTATGGTAGGCCCCAATTTGATATTCGTTTGCAATTATGGAATGAGCTGAGAGAGTTTGCTAAACATTTTAGTGGCCCATGGTTGGCTATTGGAGACTTTAATGATGTTGTTGATCAAACTAAGAAATTTGGTGGAGCCCCCATTAACCAGTATTGTGTCTAGGCTTATACTAATTGCATGAGTGATTGTAATTTCATGGATATTGGTTACTCTGGGGGGAAATTCACTTGGGTTAATATGAGGGAAAATAATCCAATCATTAGGGAGCGAATTGATAGCGCATGGGTCAATCTTGATTGGCGTCTCCAATTTCCTAATGTGATTTTGTCCCATTTGCCTTGTATTAGTTTTGATCATAATCCACCCCTTCTCCAGTTTGATTCACCTCAGTATAAGACTAAGAATAAACCCTTCTGACTTGAAAAATTCTAGTTAGAGCATCCACAATTTCAAGACTTGATATCTCCTATTTGGTTTAATCTTAGCTTTTGTACTGCTCGTTGCGTCAAAAATACTCAGTCTTCTATCCAAGTCTGGAGTAGAGAAACATTTGACAATATATTTGAAAAAAAAAAGGGAGCTTAATGCTCATCTTACTGGTATCCATTAATCCCTTTCCCTTAAACCTTTTGCCTTTCTTACGACCTTAGAAACGGACCTCACTTGGGAATATGAAAGAATTCTTAAACTTGAGGGGGATCTATGGTTTATGAAGTCCAGGACTAATTGGATGGTGGATGGAGATCGTAACTCAAAGTTTTTCCATCTCTCTACTATTCGCCATCATAGTCATAATTGTTTCCATTGCCTTAGAGTCTCTATGGATGAATGGACTAATGATCAAGGGGCTATCACCAACCTCATTAAGGACCATTTTAAGAATATGTTTTCTTCGTCCTTGCTTTGCTCTTACCATGACTCCTTCTCTAATCTTGGTGCGTCTAGTATGGCTTTTGGGGAGTTATCTATGCTGGATGCTATCCCAAATGACATGGAAATTCATGATTCCTTGGTTGGATTAAAATCTTTTAAGGCATTAGGTCCTGACGGTCTTCATCTTGGATTCTTCCAAAAGTTGTGGGAATCTGTTAAAAATACCCTTTGCACTGATATCAGAAACATCTTCGCTTCTACTACTATTCCTGTTGAGTGGAATGAGTGCTTAGTCACCCTTATTCCTAAAACAAAAAGTCCTGAGACTGTTCAACAGTTTCGTCCTATTGGCTTGTGTAACACCACTTATAAAATCATTTCTAAAATTTTTGTCAATAAAATGAAATCTATCTTAGACTTTATTATCTTGCCTTGCCAAGCGAGTTTTGTCCCTGGGAGAAAAGGTATAGATAATGTGCTGATCTTGCAAGAACTTGTGTACTCCTTTTCTAAAAAGAAAGGAAATGATGGTGACATGATTGTGAAGTTGGATTTAGAGAAAGCGTATGATAGACTCGAATGGAGCTTTATTAGGGAAGCTCTTATGTTCTTTAAATTTCCTGCTAATTTTATTTCACTAATCTTGAGCTGTATCTCCTCATCTTCTATCTCTATTCTTGTTAATGGAGAAAGAACTGATAGTTTCCTCCCTTCTCGAGGCATCTGGGGGACCTTATTTCTCCTTATTTATTTTGTGCATGGAATATTTGTCTATCAAAATTTCTACTGATATGGCTGCTGGAAGATGGAAAGGTTCCAAGGCAGGTAAGAGAGGTCTTACTTTGTCTCACCTTTTCTTTGCTGATGATTTGATTTTTGTAGGTAAGGCCTCTCAATCTAACTGTCATTATCTCAAGGACACTTTGGATTTCTTTTGCTCTCGATCTGGTCAACAAGTTAATATTTCCAAGTCTAGAATTCTCTTCTCTAAGAATGTTGACTAGAACACCTGTCTTAATATTTCCCAAGATCTTGGTTACTAGCAAACTGATGAGATTGGTAAATATCTTGGTATCCCCATTTCTCCCAAGAGGATTTCCAAGACTAATTGCCAGTTTATCTTGGAAAAAATTTGCTCAAAACTTTCTGGATGGAAAACAAAATTTTTCTCTATGGTTGGTAGACTTAGTTTCATTTCATCTGTCTTTGCTTCCATCCCAAACTTTTATATGCAAGTGATGTGGCTCCCTTCCTCAATTCATAAGGAAATTGATAAAATTTCTAACAATTTCTTATGGGGCTTTGTTGATGCCAAACATAAGCTACACCTTATTGGTTGGGATATTGTGTGCCAACCAAAAGCTCATGGTGGCCTTAGACTTTGTAGTGCAAAAAAAGCCAATATTACTGCTATGAGTAAATTGAATTGGAGAATCCATAGAGAAAAAGGGAAATTTTGGAGAGATGTATTGGCTGAAAAGTACAACATTGACAATGTTCATTACACCCCTTCTTCTTCAACTTCTCCAGTGATAAAGAATGTTTCTAAGGGAACCCAACTATTTAAAATGGGTATCAAATGGATTCCTTGTAATGGCCATTCTATTCGGTTTTGGTCTGATCATTGGGTTGGCAAGAGCTTTCTCGAGTCTATTTTCTTTGGCCCTCTCATTTGTATTGCTTCTAATATCCTTCTTGTAGATGTCTTACAAGAAGGTGCTTTGGATTTGGATACCATAGGATACCATTTTCCTCAAGATATGCTTCTTGAAATCCTCGTTGTTCCTATGTCACATTCTGATTCTAGAGTTAATGATTTTTCTTGGAGAGAAGAATCTAACGGTATCTTTTCTTCAGCTTCTACCTACAAGACTCTTACTTTCCATGGTATGCAGAATGATAAAAACTAGAGTTGGATATGGAAGACCCCAACTCTTCCAAAAATCCAAATGTTCTTATGGCTTCTTACTCATGGTAGAATTAAATCCTTAGAGTATCTTCATCAACTTGGTATTGTGGATAACCATCTTTGTAAAATCTGCAAGGGGCAAATTGAATCCTTAGATCACATCTTTCGTAATTGCCCCCCTGCTGTTGATACCCTCAACAGGTTATCTTCTGAGTTCACTACTAACCATAATATACTGAACTTTTATCAGTGGTTATATCTCCACTGCAACAATAGATCTTCTAGCCCTTTCTTCAACATTCCTTGGGCTGCTATTTTCTGTTTTACTCTTTGGACCCTTTGGAATATAAGAAACCAATATTTGTATCAGCAACAAGATATGGATACTAGCAGAATCTGCAATCTGATCATCGAAAGGGTCACAAAATTCTAGTCGGTTAATCACAAAGTTAGTACTGCTCGCCTTCACCATACTAGATTTTTTTCTTGGGATCCACCTCCATCTTCTTGGTTTAAACTCAACACTAATGGATCTACTATTGGCAATCCAGGCTATGCAAGATGTGGTGGTTTGATTAGAGACTCACAAGGGCAATGGGTTGTTGGATTTATGAGGAGTATTGGCCATACTACTTCTCTTGTTGCTAAGCTATGGGCAATCAAGGATGGTCTTTCTATGGCTAATTATCTCCAAATCCAAAATCTTATTGTGGAAACTGACTGTCAAGTTGCTCATGCTCTTTTATATGGTACTTCTAATCCTTACCACCCTCACAGTACTCTAATTTTGGACTATAGGGACCTTTTGTGCACTCTTCCCTGGGTTCAACTGAAGCATGTTATGAGTAGGGGTGGCAATTTCTCCCAATCCCTGTGGGGCCTTGCGGAGATCCCCATCACAGGGACGGGGCAGGGATGGGGGGAATTTTCTCCTCGTGAAATTTCACAGAGAATTTTCCCCTCCTCACGAAAAATTAAAAAAATCCATATTTTAAATTTAATTAATCTTCAAAATAAAACCCAAACCTTTAAAAGTGTTTTGAGTTGGCTCTTGGCTGCTTCCCTTCATGCTGAATGTTGCTTTAGTTATTTTATTTATGTTGGGTTGATTTTTGCTTATATTTGGAACAAATATGTTGCTTTATGTTGGATTAATTTCTATTTATATTTGGAACATGTTGCTTTATGTTGGATTAGTCTCTGTTTGAAAAAATTTTGTTGATTTAATTATTTATGTTAAATCAATTTTTATTTATGTTTGATGCAAAAAATATATATTTTGGTATTAATTGGTGAAGAATGGAGAGGGAGACAAAATTTGTCTCTTGTCAAAAATCCTCGCGGGGATCCCGACCCCGTGAATGGCAGGGACGAAAGGGACTCCCCGACCCCACGAGACCTATTGACATCCCTAGTTATGAGGGAGAGTAATATGGTTGCACATGCTTTGGCTAAAAAAGGGGCTCGTTCCTCTTATGGTCTTCATATTTTGTATGATTGTCCACCTAACGCGGACCTTTTGTTGACTGCTGATTAAGGATGGCAATTTTCTCCGTGACCCGTGGAGCTTCACGGAGATCCCCGCCACGGGGATGGAGATTCTAAGAATATTCCTACCCGTGGGGCGGGAATGGAGGCAATTTTTTACCCGTGAAATTTCGTGGGGAATTTTCTCCACTCCGTAGGGAACCGTGGGGATCTATATAAAATAAAAAATATATAAATTTATTTATATATATTTTTTGTACATATATTAACAATTAATTTTTACTTACCCAGCCTAATTAGCTAACCAAATACCAACATAACTTAA